CGCAGAGACTCGAGGAGAAGAACTGAGGAGCGAGCCCTGATGAGCAGAGACTGAAGGAGAGGAGACTGAATGCAGAGAGACAGCGAGGCAGATGAGAGAGGAGCTGAGGAGAGAGCCTGATGAGAGAACTGAGAAATGAGAGAGAACTGAGGAGAGAGAGCTGAAGAGAGAGACTGATGAAAGAGACCGAGAGGTAGGACCGAGAGAGACTGCAATGAGAGAGACTGAGGAACAGAGAGCTCTGATGAGAGAGACTGAGGAGAGAGACTGATGAGAGAGGGATGAGAGACCCTTGGATACTGTGCTATGATGGTCAAGCTGGATCACTCGGTTTGTGTTTTACACATGTGATTACAGATATCGCAGCACTTTGTTGCTATGCATTGCTTTTTGAACATCCTGCCAATGGTAGGGTCGAACTACGTCAATCTACCAGGCATGTAGGTCAATTTAACACAGACATCAATAACAAGATAGATCCTATCTCTAAACATTGTACTAAATACATATATAGCTGCAGACAAATTCGCTTTGCGAAAGATAAGAACTTGATATCAAATGATATTAGCTATGATTATAGCCAGATTAATTAGTGATAAAAAGTTATTAATGTTTCACTCATAGTGTCAATAGTGTTTCATAGAGGGCACTGTTGTTGAATGTGACTTGGGTTACTCACCAAACATCCTTCCTGCTTGTCTGTCACCCGGACCTTTCTTCATCTTGATATCCTTGCCATCACTGCATAAGTAAAACCTAGAATGCAATGTGTTGCTACATGCAAACTCTCCTAATTCTATAGTTATCCCATATAATCGTAACTTTAGGTCCCAGCCGGGAACACTAATCAAAGGAAAGTCTGCGGGGCAAGTTGAAGCCAAAAATCATCTGCTGCATTCAAACACAAACGCACTCCGATATTCGATGCATTTATTTCCAAACTTTGATTTCTTTGTCTCTCTCTCCCCATCCCTCTATACACAGTGTCACACGCACGCACGTACGCACGCACGACCGCACGGCACACAATACCTCACACGCACAAGTAGCACTGCATAAACCCACACACGGCCGCACGCACCAATCCCTGCACACGCACAAAGTACACCTGCATTAAACCCACAGCCACGCACGCAGGCCACGCACGCGCCACGTACACACACCACGCGCGACAACCCCCACCCACACGCCACACACACACACACACACACAAGTAAACGTGAGATAAAGTGTGCCAGGCCGTCTACTCTGATCGGCGCTCCGCTCACCTGAGGTTTGGCTTCTTTAAGGGCACCTTCTCCAGACGAGAGGCCCCGCGCTTGCTCTTCTCCAGTTCCGCAAGGGAGCCAGGCAGCAGCTCTCTCTGACAGAGCTATCAGGTCCTCGGCTCCGCACGAGGTTTTGTTTATACGACATATAGTTTATTTCCAAAAGTACTATATATTGCTAGCAATTGGATTTTACACCAATGTCAACAATATCAACTGTAAAGGTAACAAGGACGCTGATGTACAAAAGTAGTCTCTGCCTGCGACACCAGGCGTTGCCACGACAACACGTCATAACTCGCGTGACGGACTTGCGTTGCGTAACCAGCGTCATCATTCGCACGACGCTCAACCGTTTGGTCCTGGCCAACACATCCGTCGCGGGACGACGCGCGTGTGTGCGACGCGCACGCGCGCCGCGCTCACCAAAGCGAGCTCAGTTTGTCGAGTCGGTCTCGCGGGCTTCCAGCCAGAAGCTAGCCTCGTGAGTCTGTCAATGCATGCCGCTCGCTCCATCACAAACCCCCGCGCGTGCGAGGAACTGCCGCGCTCAGGCTGTGGCGAGGGGGAGCAGACCGCTCAACGACCTCTGCAACACGGAGAGGTCACGATCGATTCAACCGCTGCGCGTCGGTTGTTCACGACGACGACTTTAATATCGGTAAGCTAACACACCTGTCTACAAAGGCATTTTTGCAACAAAGGTCACGCTCCGAATCAGCGCTGCGAATGTCGGATCGTTTCACGGGCGACGACGACTTAATTATCGGAAACGCTAGCAGACACGCTGTCCTACAAAGGCATTTTGCAACCAGGTCATCGCTCGATCCAAGCGTCTGCGTGTCGTCGTTCACGACACACGACTTATCGGGACGACTCTAGCAGACACCTTTATATAACAGACACCTGTCTACAAAGGCCAAGGCTGCGTGTCGGGGGTTAATGGTTGTAACCCATCGGACACCTCTATAGAGCAGAAACCTGTCTACAAAGGCCAATTTGGGCATTCTGCGATTGGTGGTTAATGACAGCGACTCAGCGGAAATGCTAACGGACTCCTCAGAGACACCTGTCTACAAAGGCCACTTTTCACATTTCGCATCGACGGCTACTTATAATGGTAGGGGCTCAATTATATATGCGTTAATGCTAGCAACACCTCTCATATAACGGACAACCTGCCTACCAAAGGCCACTTTTCACATTTCCGTTGAGCGGCAGACTGGCAGTTATATGGTGTAACCACTCTGTTGAATGGACACCTGTCTACAAAGGCCAATTTCGCAATTCTCTCGAAATCTCTGCAGTCATAATCGTGAAAAGCATGTCTACAGAACAAATACTCGTCTATAAAGGACACTTTTTAGCATTTTAGAATGACCCTTAATACAGGGTCTGACTGTGCATCGACCTCATCGATTCTATTAACTGTTCATTGTTCTTATCGAGTTTTATATCGAGTCGATCGTACGACGACCGCGGGGGGCGACGACACTAGGGGGCGCACCTGTCTCTGGTTTGGTGTCAGGTGCATTTAGCTGCAATAGCAGGGATGTTGACACTCTCTAGCAGGCTCTCCAGGGACTCCTCTTCTTTTGAGTAATCCTACAGAGAAGAAAGAAAGGCTGTGTTAGAACCGTAAGAGACACGGAGAGAGAGAGAGAGACAGGGAGAGAGAGCGAGAGAGAGAGAGAGAGAGACAGACGGAGTGAGGGAGGGAGAGAGAGAGAGAGAGAGAGCTGGATACAGATGAATAAAAACACATACAGTCACGCATGGACGCACGCGCAGCGCTACGCGCACGCAACGCCCACGACACACACGCGCGCGGCACTGGCGCACAGCCGCACGCACTCAGCCCGCACACGTCACCACCGCAGCACCACCACATCGCACACACACACACACAACCTGGTAGCAGCGTCTTGCAGCTCGCACAGCGGATGCTTGCACCTTGTCTCCCCCCTCGCTCCTCCTCCCTCCTCCTCGGCGCTCCCACTGCAAGTGGAATCGCCCCCCAGCTCCTGCGGCGCGAGCGCGCCGCCGCCGCCGCCGCGCCGCCGTCGCGCGCCGCCATTAGCGCGCGCGAGCTCCAACAACGCGCGAGAGCGTCGACAGACAGCGGGGGAGCTGTGCCTGCAGAAGCCGCGCGTGACGCGACGCAGCAACGCCGCGACTTGCCGGCGCCGCCGCGGCGCCTGCCAGCGCCGGCGCCCGAACCTGCGTGCGAAGCCGTACTCGTGGTCAGCGAGGCACGACAGCGTGCGTTCGCGCGGCGCACTCGACGCGTAGGCGTGCGCGCGCGCCGCCGCGTGCCGCAGGAGGCCGGCGGCGATCGCGCGAGCGTGCTCGCGGTCCAGGCAGCCGCCGCGCCTCGCTGCTCGGCGGGCGCGGGGCGCCGGACGGCGCGGGGCGGCGTGATGTCGGCGTCGCCAGACGCGACTGGCAGCGTGGAGACGATGCACCTCCGTTAGCGGCGGTCGCGCGATCGTCTACCGCGCAGCAGCAGGCCTGCAGCAGCTTAGCGACAAAGCTCGGTCCGGCAACAAAACCGCGCAAGGGGGCGCCACGCTCGCATGAACACTCAGTCCATCACCAGGCGTGTGTAGGCTACACACCACCGCCAGGGGGCCCACTTGCAATTACACACTCGATCCATCAACTGCCTGTGCAACACAAAACGGCGCAGGGGGCCGCCACTCGATTAAACAAGCTTCGTCCAATCAACTGCGTGTGAGCACAACACACCGCAGGGGGCGCGCCACCTCGTATTAACAACTCGTCCATACACGCCGGCTAGTCGACAACACACCGCCACGGGGCGCACTCTCACAGAGAACCACTCGTTCATCAACCGCGATGTAGGCATACAACACACCGCCACCCGGGAGCGCCACTTCACATTAACACCGTCTCCATCAACCGCGTGTAGCTACACAGCACCGCGCAGGGGCGCGCCACTTCGGCATTAACAACTCGTCCATCAACTGCGTGTAGCTGCAAACCACCGCCAGGGGGGCGGCCCACCTTGCAGTAACCAACTCGCCGATCACTGGTGTAGCTGCAACACACCGCCCAGGGGGCGCCATATTCACATTAAGCGACTCCGACCGGACAACCAGAGCTAGGAATAAGCGTCCGACGGCGCTGACGTACGCTTTCACATCAGCGCCCCCACGCACAGCAGCTGCAACATGGCCGCCTTGAACGCGAGCAGTTCGGCACGGACGCGTACGCCATCAGGTTGGGATGCGCGCCGTGACAAGTGAGCATCCGAGGTGTCCGTCGCGCTCGCCCTCCTCTGCCGAGAGGTCGTGTTGGTTAGCCGGATCTATAGACTTTATACTATGCTAAACAGCCCTTCTCACATGATCTTTACTATCTTAAACACATCACGATTTGTATCTCTTATCACAAAAACTATACAACACTTTACAACACTTTCATCAAAGACTGTACAACAGTTTACAACATGCTCATCACAGACTATACAACACTTTACAACACTTTCATCAAAGACTGTACAACAGTTTACAACATGCTCATCACAGACTATACAACACTTTACAACACTTTCATCAAAGACTGTACAACAGTTTACAACATGCTCATCACAGACTATACAACACTTTACAACACTTTCATCAAAGACTGTACAACAGTTTACAACATGCTCATCACAGACTATACAACACTTTACAACACTTTCATCAAAGACTGTACAACAGTTTACAACATGCTCATCACAGACTATACAACACTTTACAACACTTTCATCAGAGACTGTACAACAGTTTACAACATGCTCATCACAGACTATACAACACTTTACAACACTTTCATCAGAGACTGTACAACAGTTTACAACATACTCATCACAGACTGTTACAGACATGGACACAGACATAGATATAGTACAGACGTTACACGCCAGCGACCTTGACACTGACCTTGAGGCTGTCGAGCAGGGCGTCCGCGACAGCACGCGCAATCATCATGGCGGTCGGCGCCGCGAGATCGGCCAATTGCACGCAGACGCGCCGCAGCGCGTGGTGCAGCGGCTGGCACGTAGATGGCGCCAGCGTGCGGACCGTCTGCTGCACGAGTGCGGAGAGCGAATGCAGGTGCGCGCCCCACAGCTTCCGGCTGTTCACCGCGACGCACGTCTCTTCCTCCGACAGCTGCTCTCTTGTCTGTATCGGCAGCGGCAGCGGGAGCAGCTCGGCGAGCAGCGTGACGCCGGAGTAGATCGAGCGCGGCGCGGCGAGAACGAACGCGAGCACCTCGCGCACCATCAGCGTCCATAGACTGCCGCTGAGCGCCTCGTGCGACTCCACCTCCTGCAGCGTCGGCTGCGTGAACGCGAGCAGCACGCCGACGGCGCCCGTCTGCACGCGCTGCGCGTCGTCGGCCGTCACCCCCGGCAACGGGCCGCAGCAGAGCGCCGCGTGCGCGCGCAGGAGCGCGGCGAGCGCGGAAAGGTCGCGGAACTCGACCCCGCGGCTGCCGATCAGATACGCGAGCATGTGGCGCAGGACGGCGAGCAGCGGGATCGCCATGGCGACGAGCATCTGCCCGCAGACGAGCGACGCGCTCTGTTGCCACGGCGATATCTTCTCGTCGCTGATCGACTGTAGGATGGTGAGCAGCATGGAGAGCACGTCGTGTCCGAACAGCTGCACGATCGCGTACTTGTACTTCAGCTCCTCGGTGGTGCCATCTAGTGGTGGAAATAGGAATTATAAGTTATAGATTACCCACACACCGGCAATATTTCACATTCTACATCATACAGTCAAAACCAACATCTTTGTAGAACACATGCCTATATATATATATATATATATATATATATATACTCTATTCGCAGGACCGCCAACGAGTTACTTGTGTACACGATTTGGACACAGGAAAATTGCACTCATCGGAGGATTACTATCTGCTTCGGGATTGATGCTCGGCTACGTTTCACACAGCCTCTTCTCATTATACATCACGTTTGGTGTAGTCGTAGGTAGGTTACAGCCACGGAAACACAATTAACCACTTGTCGGTAATTACCTGACTGCCCTATCAAAACAGAGCCGCCTAATCTTTATTGCATCTTTATTTTGCAAGAACTTAATTATTTCTGGTTAATAAGACGGGGTACCGTATAGGCCTGTATAATATATAATACCCATGCAGCAGCAGTAAAGTAATTGAGCAATGGGTGATGCTCGGTGTACTACGGTAGCCATTGAGCGTATATTTAAATATATATATATATATATATGTAGCTAATATATATATATAATATATTACAGGTTTGACTGTGTTTGACATCGAAATGGTCTTTCTCTAGATGTAAAAAAACAACAATGTTTTGTTTACTAGATAAAAAGAAGTAAACCACTCTGCCAAGAAACCAGGAGGCATCGCACCCACATGGCCGGTCAGCAGCAGATAATGCGCGTTGCCTAGGTAACAAGGACTCGCGTTGCCTAGGTAACGAGGACTCGCGTACCTCCTGCGCCGCGCGTCGGCGGCACGCACGCGTGCTTCATCATGCGCAGCACGGTGACGACACCTGGTGGCAGACTCTCCAGCTGCTCGACGTACTGCTTTAGTTCCTTTGCTAGCTGCTCGGGGGCGCTGCTAGCGGTCAGCGAGGGAACTCGGCGCACAGGCAGGATCCATTCCTTTAACACGTCCGCTTTAGTAAAGGCATCTGTGAACGACAGACCACAGAGAGATGGTAGACAGATGGTAGACAGACCACAAAGAGATGATAGACAGATGGTAGACAAACGACAGAGATGATAGACAGATGGTAGACAGAAGACAGAGATGACAGACAGATGATAGACAGATGGTAGACAGACGACAGAGATGATAGACAGATGGTAGACAGACGACAGAGATGATAGACAGATGGTAGACAGACGACAGAGATGATAGACAGATGGTAGACAGGCAGGATCCACT